AGCGCGAGCGGCGGGCGGAGCGAGCGGGCGAGGGAGGGGCGGCGGCGCTGCTGAGGGCAGGGGGAGCGGCCGGGCCGCCCTCACGCGGCTCCCCGCGGCCGGGGCCGCCTCGGCCGGCTGGGAGCGGCTCCGGAGGGGAGCGGGAGGCGCTGCCCGTGCCCGGAATACCGGGAGGGTCCCCCCGGGACGGGCCCCGGCGGGGCGGGTCCGGCGCTGAGGGGACGGGGAGCGGCCGGGCCGCCCTCAGAGGGCTGGGAGCGGCTCCGGAGGGGAACGGGAGGGTTGGGGCCTCCGGGAAGGGAAGGGCGGGAGGATCTCCCCGGGATGGTCCCGGAGGGACAGCGGGGCCCGGCTGTGCTGGGGTGGAGCAGGGACAAACTCGGGAATCTTTCAGTTCCCAGGAAAAATGGGGAAGGTTTTTTTTCCTTGGAGTGCCAGGATAAGGGGGATGGAATTAGGCTAAATGAGAGCACACTGAGATGGGATTTTGGGAAGGAATTCCTGGCTGGGCTGGAATTCCCAGAGGAGCTGGGGCTGCTCCATCCCTGGAATGTCCCAAGGCCGGGTTGGAGCAGCCTGGGATATAGGGGAAGGTGTTGGGGTTGGAACTGGAGGGGTTTGACGTCCTTTCCAAGCCAAATCCCAGGAATTTTGATGGAAAACGGGATAGTTCAGGAACAGGGGAATGGGGATGGAGCTAGGCTGGGAATGCTGGAAAAAGGAATTATCCAGGAATCCTCAGAGCCTTTTCCAGGGCCTAAAGAAGCTCCAGGAGAGCTGGAGAGGGACTGGGACAAGGGACAGGACACAGGGAACGGCTCAGACTGGGAAAGGGGAGATTGGGGTGGGATATTGTGAAGGAGTTCCTGGCTGGGCTGGAATTCCCAGAGCTCCGTCCCTGGGATGTCCAGAGTGGGCTCGGAGCAGCCTGGGATAGTGGGAATGATCCCAGCCCATGGACTGGGATGAGCTTGAAGCTCCTTCCCATCCCAAACCATTCCCTGCTCCCGGATCCTTTTCCAGGTGCTGCAGGATGAGCATCCAAGCCCAGAGCTGCTCTTTTCCAGTGATTTGGGATTTCCAAACTGTTCCCATCAGCTGGAGCAGAACTCAGGTAAAAAGTGCTTTGATTCCTTCTAAAATCCCTGTTTGTCCCTTCCTGCTTTTCCTGGAAAACGCAGGGCTGGAAAATCCCAAAGTGCTGTTAGAAAGCATCGAGGGAATGCTGGAAATCCTTGGGAAACTTGGTTTTATCAATGTGTTTTACAGGATAGGATGGAGACAAAGTCTCAGCTGTGAGCATGGAAGAATTCCAGGATTATGGATAAAACCAGCAGGAACTGTGCTGGGAATGGGACAGGAAAAGCTGGATCCAACTCCAGGTAAAAATTCCAATTTTGGCAAAAGAAAACTGCAAAATGTTCCTTTTTTGGGATGTTTAAGGGGTTTAGGATGGAAGTTTGGGATTGGCTGAGAAACCCTTGATTGGAATTAATATTCCGAACTTTTTTAAATGTTTGGGACTCGGGAATGAGGCAGAATTTGATTGGAGCTCTGTTTAAACTTCTCCTTTCCAGGTGTGTCCAGAGGTGGCTCCTGGGCTGAATCTTCAGGAACTTTTCATGGAATTTCTGCTCCTGGTGCTGCTGAAAACCACTGGAAAAGGACTTTTCTCCTGGAAAAAAAACAATTGCTGGGACAAGCTGGGATTTCAAAGGAATTTCTGGGAATCCAGAGCTGCTTTTCCCTTTGTTTGTTCTAAAGAAAAACATGGATTTTGATTGTTTAAAGGTGCAGAAAATTCCTTTCTCTTTCATTGTTGAGGGAATTTATTCCCAGTTCCAAGCCAAAATTCCACATTTAAAGCTACTCCTGTCTTTCTTTGTATTCCAAGAGTTTGGGAATTAAAAAAAAAGATTGGGAATTGTAATATTGGGAATAAACCTGAAGGGTTATTTTTTCCATGGTACAACTTTCCTTCTGTGATTTTTCATTCCTGGGGTTTTTTTTTTTTCCTGCTTTGTTTTTATAGGAAGTTTGAATTGGTGGGGTTGGTTTTTAATGGGGATTGTTGGGATTTTTTCCTTGTTTGTTTTGATCAGGAATTTGGAATTTATGGGATTGGTTTTTAGTGGGATTTTGAGGTTTTTTCCGTGCTTTAAATAGGAATTTGTGGGATTTTTCCTGTTTGTTTTTAAGAGGAATTCTGAGTTCGTGGGATTTGTTTATACCAGGAATTTTTAATGGGATTCCTGGGATTTTTCCTTGTTTATTTTACCACGAATTTTGAAATTATTTGGATGTGGTTTTAAGGGGAATTTTCAATGGAATTTGTCCTGTCCAATTTTACCAGGAATTCTGAATTTACAGAATTTTTCATTGTTAATTTTTAACAGGAATTTGTGGAGTTTTTTCCTTGTTAATTTTTACCAGGAATTTTCAATTTGTGGGATTTTTCCTTGTTTATTTTTAAGAGGAATTTTGAATTTGTGGGATTGGAGTTTTTTGCAGGAATTTGAGGGGTTTTTTCCCTTGGCTATTTTAACAGGAATTTTGAATTGATGGGATTTATTTTTACCAGGAATTTCTGGGATTTTTCCTTCTTTATTTTTCTGGGAATTTTGAATTTTTGGGATTGATTTTTAGCAGGAATTTTTAATGGAATTTGTGAGATCTTCCCTTGTGGTTTTCCCCACAGGAAATCGCAGCTTTTCCCTTTCTTTTCCCAGGATTCCCTCCCAAATTCCATAGGAATCCTCCCATTCCTGCCCCGCATTCCTGGGGTGAATTCCCATGGAAAATCCCTGGGAATTGTTTGTTCATCCCTTGAATGTCCCTTTGTTTTCCCACACAAAGAATTCCTTCTTTTTCTTAGGAACAGATCCCGGCTCTGCACAGCTGGGAATGGAAAAATTCCCAGAATTCCCCAAATTCCCACCCTTAACATTCCCAGATGGGGAACTTTGGGATCAAACAAATCCCAGGGATCGAGGAATTGCATGGAAGGCGCCCTTGGGATTCCGCAAGGATTTCCAATTTGTGGTTTAACCCCTTAAAATTGGAATTTTTGCGGTATTCCGGGGAAAAAAAGTGGGAAAATCTGATAAAAATACAAGGAAAAGCTGATTTGAAGGGGAAAAATGAGGAGGAAAACTCTGGGATGGCTCAAAAATTCCCTAAAATTAGTTGGAATGTGTTATTCCCATTTTTAAAATATCATTATTAAACTTTCTTTTTCATGGAAAAATTTGTGGGATAATTGCCACGTTCCTGATTTTTCTAATGGAATATTCCAAGATTTTCCTGCTTTATTGGCCTGGATTAATGGGAGAATTTGGCAAAATGCCCCAAAAATTCAGGATGAGTTAAAAGTCCAAGGAATTCTGGGATAATCCCTCAGAATTTAGGGAGAATGGGTAGAAAACATGGAAAAATTGAATAAATTTGATGTAGAATCCAAGGAAAAGTTGGGAATTGGGGGAGGTTTGCTGTGAAAAACAGGGATTGAATTCCTCTGGATGAGCAAATCCTTTGGAATCCAAGGAAAACTTGGGAATGGAGTGTGGTTCCTGGGAAAAACGGGAATGAAAGGGATTAAATTCCTCAGAGAATCAGGGAATCCAGGGGAAATGTGGGAAAAACTGGGATTGAATTCCTCAGAATGAGCAAATCCCGTGGAATCCAAGGGAAAATTGGGAATGGAGCTCCCATGCTGCTGGCGCCCATTCCCAACATTCCCACCTGGAATTCCCATTCCTCGGAGCCGGGAAAAGCCCCTTTGGAGCCCCAAATCCCACATGGAGCAGGAGAATTCCCGGGTTTCTCCCTGTGGATGCACCTGGATATGGCACAAAGAGCTGGAGAAGCAGCGGGGAAAGGAGGGAACGGCTCCATCCTGGGAAAAACCTTTGGGATCCATCCCAAAAACACTGGGATAAGGACATGGAGATCCCGAGAAAAGGCTGGATTTGGGATGGGGAAAAAAGGCTGGATTTGGGATGGGACAGGGCTGGATTTGGGATGGGACAGGGCTGGATTTGGGATGGGACAGGGCTGGATTTAGTCCAGTTTATGCCGAGATCCTGGGGGTGTTTGGAAGTTTTTGGGATCAGTTCCGTGCTCCAGCAGCTCCTGGTGGTTATTCCAGGTAGGAGCTGGGGGCTCAGCTGCCTCTGGAATGTGGGAATCGGGAACGTTTGTGCCCGGATCTGCTCCTGACATTCCCATGGCAACCTCCCATCATCCCAGCTGGATTCGTTGTGGAGGGAATCCAAGGATGGAGGCTGGAGGAGACATTCCCAGTGTGTTCCTGACAGGCCGGAATTCCAGAGTGGACCCCGCGAATGGCGGCTCCAGGTGGATTTGGCAGGAACACAATTCCCGAGGGATGGATGGGACAGGGAATGTCCAGTGCAGGGCTTGGCAAAGGGATAAACAACAGCTGGGAAAAGCGGGATTGGTGTGGGCCATGGAGCTGGGCGGGATTTGGGAAGGGAGCAGGGATTCGGGATTTATCCCAGCAGGACACATCCTTCTCCTCGGGAACACTGCGGGATTCTCTCCCTTTGGAGTCTCCCCGGATCCCTTGGAGGTGAACGGGAGAGGCTGGAGATGGGAAAAGGCTCCTGGAACCTGGATTTTCCTTTGGATCCTGGGGAAGTCTGGGATGCTGGGAAGTGCCGGTGGATTTCATGGAGCGTGGAGGGTTGCAGGAATTTTGGAGGGCTGGGAAAGGAGGGAACGGGAATGGGGAAGGAGGGAATGGGAGATGATCCCTGCTTGGGTTTCCTGGGAAAAAGGAATCCCCAGGGATGCTCCCATGGGCCCCATGATGATCCCAGGAATTGGGCTCAGCAGCTCCATGGAGATTTGGGATTCCATGGAATGCAGCTGATCCCTGCAGGATCCAGCTTTGGGATGCTCCGTGCCAGGAGCTCTCTGGAACCAGGCTGGGAGATCCCAAAAAGGGATTGTTGGGATTTAGGGATCGCTCCGGAGCCATGGGAGCAGCGGAGGACGCAGAGTGGCTGCGCTGGGTGAGCAAAAAATTTGGGAATGTCGCTGGGAAGGAGAAGGAAATCAGCCTGGAAGATTTCAAATCCGCCCTGCAGGTCAAGGAGGTCAGGGATCCGTGGGAAGAGGGAATGGGATCCATGGGAAGAGGGGAGAGATCAGTGGGAATTCCCTGCTCCATGGGAACGTTCCCTGATGCATGGAGAATATTCCCTGCTCCATGGGGACATTCCCGATTCCCAGCTCCACGGGAACATTCCCGCTTTTCCCGCAGTCCTTCTTTGCCGAGAGGTTTTTCACGCTCTTCGATTCCGACGGGAGCGGCTCCCTGAGCTGGGAGGAGCTCCTGGGATCCCTGCGCCGGCTGCTCCGCGGGAATTCCACGGAAAAGCTCCACTTCCTCTTCCAGGTGTACGACGTGGACGGTGAGAGGAGAAAAACGGGATTCGTTGGGGTTTTTTGGGATAACTGCGGGATTTGGTCTTCTCCGAGCATCCAGCTTTGGCTGGGATGAGGCTGCTGCCCTCGTTCCATGTGGGAATGGGGGAATTCCAGCGGGAAGACGAGGATTCCATCAGCTGGGGAGAGCAGGAACTGCTCCTCTCCAATCCCAACTCCCCATCCCGCTTTCCTGAAATTCTGGGATCATTTGGGTTGGAAAAGCCCTCAGAGATCGAGTCCAACCATTCCCACCCCAAACCCCTTCCAATGCCTCCCTTTCCATGAAGGAATATTCCCAAACATCCAACCTGAACCTCCCCCAGATGCCATTCCCATTATCCCGTCCCTGGTTCCTGGGAGCACATCCTGATCTATCCAGGATTTTCCACTGGAAAATCTGTAGGCCTGTGGAATATTGGGATGGAGATGACTCCTTAGGACTGTGGAATATTGGGATCAATCTGATTCTCCAGGGAGTAGATCCTGACCCAACCAGGCTTTTCCTTCCTGCGAGGAAAATTCCTGGATTGGGACTGGAAAATTGGGATGGAGATGACTCCATGGGGCTGTGGAATATCGGGATGGAAGTGACTCCATGGGGCTGTGGAATACTGGGATGAAGGTGACTGTGGGACTGGAATATCGGGATGGAGGTGACTCCGTGGGGCTGTGGAATATTGGGATGAAGGTGACTGTAGGACTGGAATATTGGGATGAAGGTGACTCCGTGGGGCTGTGGGATACTGGGATGAAGATGACTGTAGGACTGGAGTATCGGGATGGAGGTGACTCCTTATGGCCCTGTGGGACATCGGGATTCTCCCGGTTCCCAGGGAGCGGCTCCATCGATGCCGAGGAGCTGCGGGTGGTGCTCCAGGGGTGTCTCCGGGAGAGCTCCCTGGCCCTTCCCGAGGAGCGGCTCGGGGCCCTGAGCCAGGCCCTGCTCCAGGCCCTGGACCGGGATCACAGCGGCTCCATCACCTTCCCGGAGCTCCGGGAGCAGCTGGAAGCGTTCCCAGAACTCCTGGAGAACCTGAGCATCAGGTGGGGAGGGGAACTCTGGGATTGCTGGGAAAGGACTCCATGGGGAACCCACAGTGGGCTTGGGAGCAGCTGGAGAGGTTTGGGATTGGATCAGGGATGGGTTGGGATGGGATGGGTGCAGGGTTTGGATTTTGGGATGGATGCAGGGATGCTGCCACTCTGGCTGCAGGGCCGGGTACCACCCCGGGCTGGGTACTTCTCCAGCTCCTCATTCCCCATCCAAACACCCCCAAATTCCCATCCAAAACCCCTCCCTAGTTCCTATCCAAACCCCAATTCCCATTTTCCCAGTGCTGCCAGCTGGCTGAAGCCCCCCAGTCCCAGTCCTGCTGAGCCCTGGCTGTGCTGCTGCTTTTCCCGGGAATCCCGCGGAGATCAGCGGGCCGGGATGTGCCGCTGTTCCCGGGAATCCCGCGGGGATCAGCGGGCCGGGATGTGCTGCGGTTCCCGGGAATCCGGCGGGGATCAGCGGGCCGGGATGTGCCGCTGTTCCCGGGAATCCCGCGAGGATCAGCGGGCCCGGCTGTGCTGCCTCGGGGGCTGGGTCGCCAGCACCGCGCTCCTGCTCGCCCTGGGGGCTCTGTGGCACCGGGAGCGCGGCCCCGCCCTGGCGCTGGCCCGGGGCTGCGGGCAGAGCCTCAACTTCAACTGCGCCCTGCTGGCCGTGAGTGCCCCGCGACACCGGGGGGACACCGGGGGGACACCGGGGGAGGGAGCAGGGAAGGCCGGGAAGGTGCCGGGTTAGCCAGGACAGGCGCTGGCCCAAAGTTTCCCGTTGTCCCCGGCGTTTTCCATGGTCCCCCAACATTTCCCCTTCTCCCTGGAATTTCCCATTGTTCCCCAACATTTCCCCTTCCCTCTGGAATTTCCCATTCTCTCCCCGCATTTCCCATTGCCCCGGAATCTCTCATTTCCATTTGCTCCCTGGAATCTCCGGGTGCCCTGGCCCCTCCCCTCGCCCACTGCCCGTCCCTGTCCCGGGTCCCCATCGCTGTCCCCTGCCCTGTGCCCATCGCTGTCCCCTGCCCTGTGCCCTGTCCGTGTCGCTGTCGCCAGGCGCTGATGCTGCGGCGCTCCCTGACCTGGCTGCGCTCCACGCCGCTGGCGGAGCTGTTTCCGCTGGAGCTGCACGTGCGGGGCCACGAGCGCGTGGGACACCTGGTGCTGGCCCTGGGGACCGCGCACGCGGGGGCACACCTGGCACAGGCCGGTCAGTGACAGGGGGACAAGGGGACACACCTGGCACAGGGGGTCAGTGACACGGGGACACACCTGGCACAGGCCGGTCAGTGACACGGAGACCAGGGGACACACCTGGCACAGGGGATCAGTGACAGGGGACACACCTGGCACAGGGGGTCAGTGACAGGGGGACACGGGGACACACCCGGCACAGGGGGGGTAAGTGACAGTGGGACACACCTGGCACAGGCCGGTCAGTGACACAGGGGACACACCTGGCACAGGGGGTCAGTGACACGGGGACACGCCTGGCACAGGCCGGTCAGTGACAGGGGACACGGGGGCAGAGAGCCCAGGGATGGGGGATCGTGGCCCGGGATCCCATGGAAGGAAGGGGCTGCCCAGGGACGGGGGGGATGTCCTGGAGAAGGGGTGGCCGTGCCGGGAGGGCTGCGAGGGCAGGGACAGGGACAGGGGACACGGGCCGGACAGGGCAGGGCCAGCAGCCGCGGGCTGTGATCCCCCTCTAGCGGCTCCCGCCGGACAGCCGAGGTCCCGAGCGGGATCCCAATCGCGCATTCCCAAATCGCGGTGCCGCACATCCTGGAACCCCCAGAGCCCATCCCAGAGCCGGTGCCGGGGCTCTCCCCTCTCTGCTCCCCGTGCCTCTCCCGTGCCTCTCCCGTGCCACCACCCCGGCGGGGGTGGCGCGGCCGCGCTGAGCGGTGCCCGTGTCCCCAGGGCTGGCGCGGCGGGACTGGCTCCTGGCCCTGGGCGAGTACGTGCGGCGGGCGCGGCCGGGCGCGGGCGGCGTTGGCGGCACGGCCCCGCAGACCGGGCTGGCGCTGCTGGCGCTGCTCCTGGCCATGCTCGCCTGCTCCAGCCCCTGCGTGCGCCGCGGCGGCCACTTCGAGGTGATCCCATGGGAATTCCCGGCTGGAATGCCGGGGGTGCCGCGGTGGGAAGGGGGGCACCCCTGGGTGCCCATCCCGGTGCTGCCCCGTGGGAGCTCTGGGCACGCCACACCCGCGGTTTGGGGTTCCTGGGATTTGCTTCCCCACGGGACCCAGGGAATGGTTTCCCGGTGCCACGGGGATATTGGGATGGGATTCCCAGAGAGGCCGTGGGTGCCCCTGGATCCCTTGGGAGTGTCCATGGAGCAATGTGGGATAGTGGGAGGTGCTGGGATTGGAACTGCGCGGGTTTAAGGTCCTTTCCAAGCCAAATCCCAGAGATTCCAGGATTCCCTTGGGCTGCCTTTTCCCACTGGGATACCCAGACAGCCCCACCAGGAAGCACCATTTGGGTGCAGCACTTCCCATTCCCATTCCTACCCCCATTCCCATTCCCAGGTTTTTTACTGGAGCCACCTCTCCTACATCCCTGTGTGGTTCCTGCTGCTCCTGCATGGTCCCCACTTCTGGAAGTGGTTCCTGATTCCCGGCTCCCTGTTTGTGCTGGAGAAGGTTCTGGGCTGGGCGTGGCGCCGGCTGGGGGATCTGCACATCCTGGAGGCCAAGCTGCTGCCCTCCAAGGTGGGAAAAAATCCCAAATCCCAAACATCCCACATCCCAAACATCCCAAATCCTATCCATCCATCTCAAATCCCACCATCCCATCTCCCACCTCCTCCTGGCACTCTGGGAATGAAGGAATAAACAAACACGGAAAAGCTGGAGGTGGCAGTGGGAAGCCAAAGGAATTCCTTTATTTCCAAGTCTTTTTCCCTATTTTCTCAAATGAAAACTCACTGAACAACCGGAGCAGAACGAAAACTCCCGGAACTCGGAATTTTTTCCCCAAATCCCATAGTTTGAGCCCAGTCTGAACTGGGATTTTATGCAACCCAAACTGGGCAGGAAATGGGGAACAAACCCAACGGGGGGGGGACCAGAACCCGGAATTTCCGCTGCACAGAAAGCAGCGTGAGGTATCCTTTGGACATTCCCGGTTTTCCTGCTCCCGTTCTCCTGCAGGTGACGCACCTGGTGATCCAGAGGCCGAAATCCTTCCGCTTCCAGCCGGGGGATTACGTGTACCTGAACGTCCCGGCCATCGCCGCCTACGAGTGGCACCCCTTCTCCATCAGCAGCGCCCCCGAGCAGCCAGGTTCCTCCTGCTCCCTGAAAATCTCCCTGGAACGTTTCCCCTTAACATCCCTGGAATGTTTCCCACCCCTGGGATCTGTTTTTGATCCCCAGGATCTGTGAGCCACCCCTGGGATCTGTTTCCCATCCCTGGAATGTTTTCCATCCCCGGGATCTGTTTCCCACCCTCAGGATCTGTTTTCCATCCCTGGGATCCGTTTCCCACCCCTGGGATTTGTCTTCCATCCCGGGATCCATTTCCCACCCTTGGGATCTGTTTCCCACCCCCAGAATCTCTTTTCCCATCCCTGGGATCTGTCTTCCCTCCCTGGGACCCATTTCCCACCCCCAGGATCTGTTTTCCATGCCCATGGCGAAACATTTTTCCAGCTTGGATGGGGCTTGGAGCAAGCCGCGGTATGGGAGGCAGTTCCATGGGATGAGTTGGGTTTGGAGTTCTTCCCAATCCAGAGAATTCCAGGATTTTGGGATTGATCCCCACAGAAACCCTCTGGCTGCACATCCGGGCGCGGGGCCAATGGACCACCAAGCTCTATGAGTACTTCCAGCAGCTGGAATTGCACGGCCCGGAGCCAAATCCGCCCGGGAAGAGCCGCAGGGAGCGGAGGAGCCGGCACTGGGAACAGGTGGGATTGTGAGTTTGGGATCGGAGCAAAGGGACGGAAGTGGAGTGGATCCCATGGGATCATCCCAGCTGGGGAATCCCTCGGGATGAGCATTCCCTGCTTGTTCAGCCTTGAAGGATTTGTGTCCCAGGAAATAGGAATTTGTGCTCTGTGGAATGGGATTTGGGATGGATGGAAGGATGGGATGGTAGGATTGGGGACTGATGGGATTTTATGCCCCATTGAATGGGATTTGGGATGGATGGATGGATGGATGGATGGATGGATGGATGGGATGGTAGGATTTGGGACTGATGGGATTTTGTGCCCCATGAAATGGGAATTCCTGTGACCCTGCTGGAGGCCCAGCAGATGCCAGGAGAGGTGATCCCAGTGCTGATTCCAGCCTTGGCTCCCAGGAAGGATCCGTGGCCTCCGGCAGGGATGGAGCCGTGGAGCTGACGGCGTTCCGAGCCTCCGGAGCTGCTTTCCCAGGAAAGGACCCGGAGCAGGGGGTGAGCCCTGCCCCGATCCCAGGGGACAGGGACTGGATCCCAAATGGGATAAAGCTCCTTAAAAAGCTCCTCTTTGGAAAGAAACTCCTTGGATGTTATTGTGGCATTGACAGCTGGAATTGTGTGTGCAGCCCAGTGGGAAAATGCCCAAATCCAGGGAATTTTGGGAGTGCTTGGGAAGGGGGATGGTCACTGCTCCCCTCTCCTGCAGGGCGCCGGGCCTGGGGAGACCCAGCGGAGCTGCAGCGTCAAGGTGAGGATGTTCCCAACTTCCCTGGATCCCGGGAAATGGGCTGGGATCAGCATTCCCACCATCCCATCCATGTTCCTGTCCATCCCATCCCCGTTCCCAGCTGCTCCATCCCTGTATCCCTGTGCCTGGATGATCCCACCTGAGGCTGATCCAAACCCTGCCCTGTGCTGGAAAACTCCAATCCTTCCCAGCCATTCCTTGCTCATACAAAACCCCATGAGGATCCCAAATTCCTGGATCCCCTTTTTGCCCTTCTCCTCTGCCCGGGAGCTGTTCCAGCCCCTGGAACTGCTGGATCTGTCCCAGTGCTTCCTGGACGGTCCCTACGGAAGCCCGAGCCGGCGGATCTTCACCTCGGAGCACGCCGTTCTCATCGGAGCCGGCATCGGCATCACCCCCTTCGCCTCCATCCTGCAGAGCATCATGATCCGGTGGGTCCCCCTGGAATCTGGGAACATCCCAGGGATTTGGGATGCGTGCCTGGGTGGAGGTGTCATCCAATCCTTGATCCTTGGGATTCATTCCCATGGCCACAGGTGGGGCCTGCCTCGGTGCCAGGATTTTCCTTGGGAATCTGGGCCGCAGGAAAGGTGCTTGGCCATGGGCAGGCACCGGGAGGGAAGGGGCAGGAAAAGGAAGGAAGGACCAGGAATAAGCAGGAAAAGATAGGAAGGGGAAGGAAGGAGCAGGAAAAGGAAGGAGGGAGCAGGAATGGGAAGGAAGGGGCAGGAAGGGACAGGAAGGAGCAAGAATGGGAAGGATGGAGGGAGCGGGAATGGGAAGGAAGGAGGGAGCGGGAATGGGAAGGAAGGGGCAGGAAGGGACAGGAAGAAGCAGGAATGGGAAGGAAGGAGCAGGAACGGGAAGGAGGGAGCGGGAATGGGAAGGAAGGAGCAGGAAAAGGAAGGAGGGAGCGGGAATGGGAAGGAAGGGACAGGAAGGAGCAGGAATGAGCAGGAATGGGAAGGAATGAGCAGGAACCGCCACTCCCCCATGCAGGTACCGGCGGCGGAGGCAGAGCTGCCCCAGCTGCCATTTCTCCTGGAGCGAGGAACGGCAGGACGAGGAGATGACGCTCCGGAAGGTGGGAACGGGAACAGGAGCGAGAGGGGATGTGGGATCCAGGCTTGGCCTGGGATGGGGCTGCAGGGTGCTGGGGTGGAGAGCCTGGGAGCATCCCTCAAATCCGGGAAAACTTTGGGAATGGGGGCTGGATCTGGTGCCAAGATGCGGCGAGATCCCAAGCCGAGGCTTTCCCGCCCTGCCAGGTGGATTTCATCTGGATCACGCGGGACCAGCAGCACCTGCAGTGGTTCCTGGGCCTCCTGGCCAAGCTGGAGGCGGAGCAGGCGGAACTGGAGCCGGGAGGTGAGCGGGAGCACCCGGCATCATTCCCGGGAAAACCCCCAGCCCAATCCAGGCCCCGGAGCGGGCCGGATCCCGGCGGGCAGCTGGAATGCCTGGGGTTGCCAGGGAAGTTCCTGGAGCTGCACCTGTACATGACCTCGGCGCTGGGCAAGGGGGACGTGAAGGCGCTGGGGCTGCAGCTGGCCCTGGACCTGCTGGCGGCCCGGGAGCAGCGCGATTCCATCTCCGGGCTCCGCTGCCGCACCCAGCCCGGCCGCCCCGACTGGGACAAGGTCAGGGAGCCGGGATACAGGGAATAATGGGAACGCTGGGGCGGGGGGAGAGGGGGAGCGGGGCTAAGGGAGGGAGCGGGGAATCGGGGAATGGGATTGTGGAATAGGATCCAAGAATCGGGGAATGGGATCAGGGAATCGGGGAATGGGATCATGGAATCAAGGAATGAGATTGTGGAATAGGATCCAAGAATCAGGGAATGGGATCAGGGAATGGGATCAGAGAACTGGGGAATAGGATCAAAGAACTGGGAAATGGGATCATGGAATCGGGGAATGGGATCACGGAATCAAGGAATGAGATCGTGGTATAGGATCTAAGAATCGGGGAATGGGATCAGGGAATGGGATCATGGAATAGGATCAGAGAACTGGGGAATGGGATCAGACAATCCGGGAATGGGATCAGAGAGCTTGGGGAATGGGATCGGCGAACTGGGGGAATGGGATCATGGAATGGGATCCGAGAATTGGGGAATGGGGTCAGAGAATCGGGGAATGGGATCACAGGATCATGGAATCATGGTATGGGATCATGGAATGGGATCAGAGAATCAGGGAATGTGTTGGGAGGGAATGGGAAGATGATCTCACTCCAAGCCTCTGATCTGGGTCACATTGTGGAGTGGGATCATGGGATCAGGGAATTGGGGAATGGAATCATGGAATGGCTTGGGTTGGAAGGGGCCCCAAAGGTGACCTCATTCCAGCTGCCTTGTCCAGCCCCAGGGATGATGGAATGGGATCAGGGGATGCTGGAAGGGGCGGGGAAGGGCGGATCCCGGATCCCGGCGCGGTTCCCGCTCCAGGTGTTCGGGCGGGTGGCGGCGGAGCGGCGCGGCAGCGTCCGGGTGTTCCTGAGCGGCTCCGCGGGGCTGGCGCGGGTCATCCGCGGGCACTGCCGCCGCTTCGGCTTCCGCTTCCACCGCGAGACCTTCTGAGAGCAGCCGCAATTCCAGCCGGGATCCCTGCGGCCGGGGCTCTGGGAATGCTGCCTGCGGACCGCGGGAATAAATCGGGAAAAGATGGGAATGTTTCCTTCGGATCTGAGGAATAAATCACGAAAAGATGGGAAACTTTCCTTTGGATCTGAGGAATAAATCAGGGAAAGATGGGAATGTTTCCTTTGGATCTGAAGAATAAATCACGAAAAGATAGGAATGTTTCCTTTGGATCTGAGGAATAATGGGAAAGATGGGAATGTTTCCTTTGGATCTGAGGAATAAATCAGGGAAAGATGGGAATGTTTCCTTCGGACCTGAGGAATAAATCAGGGAAAGACTGGAAACTTTCCTTTGGATCTGAGGAATAATTGAGGGAAAGATGGGAAAGTTTCCTTCGGATCTGAGGAATAAATCAGGAAAAGATGGAAAAGGTTCCTTTGGATCTGAGGAATAAATCAGGGAAAGATGAGAAAGTTTCCTTTGGATCTGAGGAATAATTGGGGGAAAGATGGGAATGTTGGGGTTCATAAAAGCAATTCCAGCTCCTTGGCAAAACCAAGGAAAAACTGGGATGGGAATTGGTGCATGAGAGATGCTACTCCCTCCAGCCCGAAGTCTGTGCTGGATTTGGATTGGGTTGCCTGGTAAATCAAGAGAATCCAGGAATCAGGAGCTGCTGAGGCTGTGGATAACAGTTCCACGCTTGGAATTCCTGATTTTCCACCCTTTTCCAGGCGTGGAATCTGCTCCAAAGCAGCAGCTCCTGGTGGGCAAGGCACAGAATTCCCGGGTTAGTGTTGGATTGGGATTGAATCACGTTCATCCGGGTTCTGTTGGGTTTATCCCGAGCTGGGTGGTTTTTAGGGATGGAGGATCTTGGAATCATGGAATTTGTTTGGAATCACGGAATTGTTTCTGTTGGAAAAGCCCTTGGAGATCCCGGACTCCAACCAGTCTGCTGTCCCCAAGTGTCACATCCAGAGGGCTCCAATCCCTCCGGGATGTGACTCCAGCCCTGCCTGGCAGCTCCTCCATGCCTGGAGCTTTTCCAGGTGGGAATTTTCCAGGTGGGAATTTTCCCAACGTTCCCAAACCTCCCCCGGCGCAGCCGCTCCCCCCCTCCGCTCTCCCTGAGCCGCTTTCCCAGCCCCTCGCTCTCCCGGTCCCTTTCATCAGTTACTCATTAATTATTCATTAATTATTCATTAATCCCCGTTAATTATCGCGATCAAAGCCGGCGCCTCACGCGGCCTCGCCACGTGACCGAGCTGTGGGCGGGGCCTGACGCAGCCAATCAGCGACGCGCTCAGCCCGGAAGCCCCGCCCCTTAAATGCGCGCTTCTGATTGGTCGCCGCCGCTCTCGCGGGAAGCCGGGGCGGGGCCGCTCCCGCCGCTCCCCCCCGGCCGCGCCGGTGCCAGCGGGGGCTGCGGCGGTGCCGGGGCCCCGCGGGGGTGCGAGCGGCGCCCGCAGCGCTCCCGGTGCCCCCGGAACCGGCGGGGCGGCGGCGCCTCCTCCCCGCCCCGCCCTACCCTACCCGGCGCCGTTGTGGCGGCGGCACCGCCGCGCCGCGCTTTCCTATTGGCTGGCGCCCTGTGCTCGTGCCGCCCCCCGCGCGCTCCCATTGGCCGCGACGCGCGAGGGCGGGGCCCCGGCGCGGCCCCTCCGTGCTCCCCCCGCTGCCCCGCGCGGGGGTTCCGCCGCCCGCCAGGCCCTGGGCGCAGGTGAGGAGTGGGCCGGGATTCCCGGGAATTCCCGGGATGACGGGAATGATGGGAATGACGGGAATGGTGGGAATCATGGCAGCGGGAGAGGGAGAGGGCAGCGAGGTTACCCGGGCTGGGCGTGCTCGGGCCGCCTCGGGGTTGCTGCCGGAGCCTGGAATGAGGGAACGGGAGCGGTGGGAATTTGGGAATTCGGGAATACGGGCTGGGAATGCGGGAATGCGCGGAAATGCGGGATATGGGCTGGGGGGATGTGGAGTGCAGGAATCGCGGTTCTGGGATTCGGGAATATGGGATCCGGAATTCCTGGAATTCCCTGAGGATTCTCTTGGAATTATGAAGCGTTTCCTGGGAATCAGATGACTTTCCTGGGAATACCAGGATTTCCCTGAGAATGTCAGGATTTTCCTGGAATTCGGAGGAGTTTCCTGGGAGTACCAGGATTTCCTAGGAAAAGCTCCATCTGGGGCTGCTCCAGCTCCATTTTCCCCGGTTTTCCCTGCAGGAATCCCAAGAGGAATCTGTAAATCCCGGGATTTTTGCCTCTGGAAGCTCGAGATGTGTTAGAATTCCAAGAATTCCCAGAATTCCCTTTCCCTAAGGTAAGAGCAAAGCTGCTTTTCCCCATTCCTGTTTATTCCCGGCTCTGCTGGGATCTCTGGAGTTCCTGTCCCAGCCTGGAACCCAGATCTCCCTGATTGCTGGGAATGTTGGCACTGAGCCTGGACAGGGATACCATTCCCATCCAGGAAAGCCCAAATCCATGTCCTGATCCTGTTTTTCCATGGTTTTCCCAGGGATGTTCCACCATGAGTGACATTCCCAGCTGGAACATCCCAAATCTCCCTCCTGCTCCCGTTTTCCCATGTTTTCCCATGTTTTCCCGTGTTTTCCCATGAATGCAGCACCATGTGCTGACCATTCCCATCCAGAACATCCCAAATCCCTTTCCTGATCCCATTTTTCCATGTTTTTCCCTGTTTTCCCAGGAATGCAGCACCATGCACTGCCTGGTCTGGGTGCTGTTCCCATCAGCAACATCCCAAATCCCTCACTTGGTCCTGTTGTTCTGCATTTTTCCCTGTTTTTCCCAGGAATTCTGCACCATGAGTGCCATTCCCATTTGGAACACCCCAAATCCCTCTTGATCCTGTTTTTCCATGTTTTTCCCATTGTTTTTCCCAGGAATGCAGCACCACGCACTGCCTGGCCTGGGTGCCGTTCCGATCTGGAACACCCCAAATCCCTCTCCTGATCCCGTTTTTCCCCTGTTTTTCCATGTTTTTTCCAGGAATGCAGCACCATGCGCTGCCTGACCCCATCACCCTGACCATTCCCATCAGGAACACCCCAAATCCCTCTCCTGATCCCGTTTTTCCCATTGTTTTTCCCAGGAATGCAGCACCATGCGCTGCCTGGCCCGCCTCAGCTCCAAGGCGCTCCTGGTGCTCTGCTCCCTCCTGGCTCTGCTCTCGCTGCTGCTCTGGACCCGCTGCTCCCACCGCCCCCAGCCCGCTCCAGGCCCCCCGGAGCACCCCGGCATTCCCGACAGCGAGGAGGCCTCGCCCCAGGACGCCCCCAGAGCCCCGGGAATGCCGGGAAGCGCCGGGAGGGCGGCGGCGGGGCCGCGCTACGAGGAGATCGACTGCGTCATCAACGAGGAGCAGACGGTGAAGGGGCGGCGCGAGGGCAGCGAGGTGTTCCTGCCCTTCAGCTGGGTGGAGAAGTACTTCCAGGTGTACGGACGCATCGCCCAGGCTGACGGGGGCGAGAGGTTCGAGTTCTCCCACAGCTACTCCAAGGTGTACGCCCAGCGCGCGCCGTACCGGCCCGACGGCGTCTTCATGTCCTTCGAGGGCTACAACGTGGAGCTGCGCGACAGGGTCAAGTGCATCAGCGGCGTGGAGGGTGAGGGACCTCTTTGGGGTTGGGATGAGCCCTAGAATCTCCTGGAAGTGCTCCGTAAAACGTGCAGGAAGTGCTCTGTAAAATGTGCTGGAAGTGTGAAGCGAACCTGGGCGTTCTGGTGGGAATGTGGGAATGGTGGTAGGGTCAAGTGCATCAGCGGCGTGGAGGTTGAGGGACTGGGCGTTCCCCCTGGGGAGTCTTTGGGGTTGGGATGAGCCCTAGAATCTCCTGGAAGCGCTCTGTAGAATGTGCTGGAAGTGCAGAGTGATCTGGATGTTCCGGTAGGAATGTGGGAACAGAGGTGGCACTGGCAAAGTCCATGAGAGGATCAAGTGCATCAGCGGCGTGGAGGGTGAGGGACTGGGCGTTCCCCCTGGGGAGTCTTTGGGGTTGGGATGAGCCCTAAAATCTCCTGGAAGCGCTCTGTAGAATGTGCTGGAAGTGCTCTGCAAAAGGTGCTGGAAGTGCAGAGTGACTTGGATGGGAATGGGAGTGGTGACACCGCCAAGTGCGTCAGTGGGGTGGAAGGTGTAAGCCTGGGTACTCCCGGGAATTTTTGGGGTTGGGATGATCCTTAAAATCTCCTGGAAGTGCGAAGAGACACGGATGTTCTAGTGGGAATGTGGGAATGGTGGTAGGGTCAAGTGTGTCAGTGGCATGGAGGATGAGGGCCTGGGCATTCCCTGGGGGAGTCTGTGAGGTTGGGATGATCCCATAACTCTCCTGGAAGTGCTCTGTAAAATGTGCTGGAAGTGCTCCGTAAAATCTCCTGGAAGTGTGAAGGGACGTGGATGTTCTGGTGGGAATGTGGGAATGGAGGTGGCACAGCAAAGTCCATGACAGGGTCAAGTGCATCAGCAATGTGGAAGGTGTGAGCCTGAGGATCCTTTTGGGATTGGGATGATCCCTAAAATGTGCTGGAAGTGCAGAGCGACCTTGATGTTCTGGTGGGAATATGGGAATGGAGGTAGAGTCAAGTGTGTCAGCAGTGTGGAAGGTGGGAGGCAGAGGATTCCCAGGAATTTTTGGGATTGGGATAAACCTGAAAATATCCTGGAAGTGCTCTTTAAAATGTGCTGGAAGTGCTCCTTAAAATGTGCTGGAAGTGTGAAGTGACCTGGATATGGTGATGGGAATGTAGGAATGGGGGTGGCACCATCAAGGTCTGTGGCAGGGTCAGGTGCGTCAGTGGTGTGGAACTTGGGTTTTGCTGGGAAAGCAGAGTATTCCCAGCAATTTTTGGGATTGGGATGATCCTTAAAATGTGCTGGAAATACGGAGTGACCTGGCTGTTCTGGTGGGGATGTGGGAATGGGGATGCCACTGGCAAGGTCTGTGACAGGGTCAGGGGCATCAGCAGAGCAGAAGGTTTTTTGGGGTTGGGATGATCATGAAAATCTGCAGGAAGTCCTCCTTAAAATGTGCTGGAAGCGTGAAGTGACCTGGATTTGGTGCTGGGAATGTAGGAATGGGGTTTAGTGGTGGCACCTCGGGCCTTGGGATTGTCAGGGATGGGTTGGGTGGGACAGGACACGGGGAATGGCTCCCAGTGCCAGAGGGCAGGGGTGGATGGGATATGGGGCAGGAATTCCGGGCTGGGCTGGAGTTCCCAGAGAAGCTGTGGCTGCCCCTGGATCCCAGGAATGTCCAATGCCAGCTTGGAGCGCCCTGGGATGGTGGAAGTGGCCTTACCCTTGGAAGGGGTGGAATGGGGTGGGATTGAGGTTCCCTTGCACCCAGCCTTTCCACAATTCCATAAAAGTTGGGAAGACCATGCCAGGGATTCCTCTGCCAGCTGAAACCATGGAATTCTGGATTTTACTGGGAAAGGACCCAATGCCCTCCTTCCCTGGGACTTCCCTCTAACGTCCAACTGCATTGATGGAGCTCCCGGAATTTCGGGGTGCAGAGCAGGACTTTTTCCCTCATTCCAACGCTCATGCCAGTGTTTCTTTCCGGGCAGGAGTTCCTCTCTCCACACAGTGGGGCCCCCAGGGCTACTTCTACCCCATCCAGATCGCCCAGTACGGGCTGAGCCACTACAGCAAGAACCTGACGGAGAAGCCGCCGCACGTGGAGGTGTACGAGACAGCGGGGGACGGGAACGGGAATGGGGAATGGACGGTGCCCAAGGGCTGCTCCCTCACCACCGTCTGGGACAAGACCCGGCTCACCGGGGTCAAGCAGTTCTCCTGCCCAGGTGGGTGGTGGGAATTCCGGTGGGTGGTGGAGCAGGGAGTGGGAATTGTTGGGTGCTGGGGTTTTGTTTGGCCTTTGTTCCCAATCCTTGATTCCAGTCTTTCATTCCCAGTCCTTCATTCCCAATCCTTTTCATTCCTTATGCTTCATTTCCTGTCCTCTTCACTCTTCATCTTTTTCATTCTGCATCCTTTTTATTCCCCATCCTTTTTCTTCCCAATCCTTTGTTGCCAATTCTTCATTCCCAGTCCTTCCTTCCCCATCCTTTTAATTCCCAGTCCTTCATTCCCCATCCTTTTCATTCCTTATCCTTCATTCCCAGTCCTTCATTCTCCATCCTTTTCATTCCCCATCCTTTTCATTCCCAATCCTCCATTCCCCATCCTTTTCATTCCCACTCCTTCATTCCCCATCCTTTTTGTTCCCAGTCCTCCATTCCCCATCCTTTTCATTCCTAATCCTCCATTCCCCATCCTTTTTGTTCCCAGTCCTCCATTCGCCATCCTTTTCGTTCCCAATCCTCCATTCCCCATCCTTTTTGTTCCCAGTCCTCCATTCTCCATCCTTTTCATTCCTTATCCTTCATTCCCGATCCAATCAGGTGAAACAGCCCAGAAACGTTGAATTATTGAAGGGCTGCTCTAAAAGCTTTGGAGTCCCTCCTGGGAGCGGGGATGGCCTCTGGAATCCGCTCCAACCCTTTGGAAATGGGAATCTTTCCATGCTGAGCGAGCCTTTTCCGGGGTTGCTTTTGCAGAAAGCTCCGAGGGCGTCTCCCTGGAGCTCAACAATGGCCGGGATTTCATCATCTCCTTCGACCTGAAGCTGCTGAGCAACGGCAGCGTGTCCGTGGTGCTGGAGACCACGGAGAGGAACCAGCTCTTCACCGTGCACTACGTGTCCAGCACGCAGCTCATCGCCCTCAGGGACAGGGACATCTTCTACGGCATCGGAGCGCGCAGCAGCTGGAGCACGCTCACCCGGGACCTGCTGACGGATCTGCGCAAGGGCGTGGGGCTCTCCAACACCAAGGCGGTGAAGCAAACCAAGATCATGCCCAAGAGGGTGCTGCGCTTGGTGGCCAAAGGCCGCGGCTTCCTGGACAACGTCACCATCTCGGCCACCGCCCACATGGCCGCCTTCTTTGCCGCCAGCCGCTGGCTGCTGCGCAACCAGGATGAGCGCGGCGGCTGGCCCATCATGGTCACCAGGAAGCTGGGGGAAGGCTTCAAATCCCTGGATCCGGGCTGGTACTCGGCCATGGCGCAAGGCCAGGCCATGTCCACGCTGGTCAGGGCCTACCAGCTGACCAAGGAGCCGGCGTTCCTGGGCGCGGCGCTCCGGGCCACGGCGCCCTTCAAGCTGCCGGCGGAGCAGCGCGGGGTCAAGGCGGTGTTCATGAACCGGCACGACTGGTACGAGGAGTACCCCACCACGCCCAGCTCCTTCGTGCTCAACGGCTTCATGTACTCCTTGATCGGCCTCTACGACCTGAAGGAGACGGCCGGGGAGAAGCTGGGCAAGGAGGCGCGGCTGCTCTACGAGCGCGGCATGGAGTCGCTCAAGGCCATGCTGCCGCTCTTCGACACCGGCTCGGGCACCATCTACGACCTGCGGCACTTCATGCTGGGCACGGCGCCCAACCTGGCGCGCTGGGACTACCACACCACGCACATCAACCAGCTGCAGCTGCTGGGCTCCATCGACGACGCGCCCGTCTTCAAGGAGTTCGTCAAGAGGTGGAAGAGTTACCTGCGGGGAGGGCGGGCCAAGCACAACTGAGCTCCTCCCCGTCCTCCCCGCCGTTCCGACGGCTCCTTCCCAAAATCGCGGGCCTTAAAACTGCTCCGGGGAGGGTTTGGGATCGGGACGCTCTCTCCCGCGTTGAGGTTGGGTTTTGTTGGGATTGGTTTTTCCTTTTCCGAGGAAAATGTTTGCAGAAGCCATAGAAGTCTTGGAAGCGCGGTCGCTGCCTGGAGAGCTCATCCAGGGCCTCCTAAACCGGGATTTTGTGTCCGTGTTGGAGCAGCTCCCGTGGGATGAGCGCCGTCCACAGGAATCACTTGGAGCCTGGGAGTGCAAAGCGTGGCTTTAAAGTGGGGGGGGGTTTCCTAGGGATTCGCTTTTTCGGGATGACAAATCCGCAGTTGGGAGTTTTTTGCCAGTTCTCTGCCTGGAGATCCTGGAGCTGGAGGGTTTCTTCATGGAAAACACGTGCCCGGCATCATGGAAGCACAACTGGGAGCCTGGAGCACACAGCCCTGGGCCACCAGCACCCGTGTCCCCTCGGAGCTGGGATCCCTTATCCTGGTGTCCCCTCGGAGCTGGGATCCTTATCCCGGTCACTGGAATTCCCTCAGAGCTGGGATCCCTTATCCTGGTGTCCCTTTGGAGCTGGGATCCCCTGTCCTGGTGTCCCCTCAGAGCTGGGATCCTTATCCCTGTCACTGGAATTCCCTTGGAGCTGGGATCCCTATCCCTGTCACCGGTATCCCCTCAGAGCTGGGATCCTTTTTCCTGGAGCTCTGTGTTTTCTACGGGATTTTGGAATTCCATCTGGGAGGTTCCTCAGAGCTTTGGGGGCGTTTCCAGGAATTGCTGAGCGGGACGCGGAGCTCATCTGGAGTTCCTCAGGAAACGCAAGAATTCGGGAATTCTCATTTTTCTCCTGCTCCAGCCCATCCAGCATTTTAACAGTTCCATCCCAGAGGTTTTTCCAGCTCTCCCTGGGCTGGAATTCTCAGAGGAGCTGTGGCTGCCTCTGGATCCCTGGAATGCCCAAGGCCAGCTTGGAGCAGCCCGGGACAGTGGAAGGTCCCTATGGAATGGGATGAGCTTTAAGGTCCTTCCCACCCAACCATTCCATGATTCCATGATCCCACCGGCTGCCTGATCCCAAAATCGAGGATGGACATTGGGAATTCCCACTGCTCCCATTCCACGTTGGAGCTGATCCCAATCCCAAAATCCTGGGCACAAGGACAACACCCATCTCCATCTTTTTATTGCTTTTTGAGGCTTTTCCTTCATTTCTCACCGATCTCGGAGCGACCTTTTCCCGGCTTTAATCCACGCGCTCCGGTCGGATCCATCCATCCCATGGATGGCAGAGGAGAAATTCCAATACCAAAGGTAGCAGAGGGGAATTTTTTCCATGCCCATGGAAACCCAGCAGACACAAACCCACCCCAAACCCGGGATTCCTGCTCAACAATCCGCTCCATCCTCCCTCCGCGGGTTCCTTCCATTGTTTTCCCGGCTGGAAAAGCCAGAGAGCCTCCTTGGATGCTGCTCCAGGATGGTGTTGGTGCCTTACAGAGGCCAGAATTCCTCTTGGTTGGGTTTTTTGGGAATTGATGCTGATGGTGGGGTTGGAGCATGGCCGATTTTCCCGCTCTGGAAGAGCTCGGAAGCGCGGGATGGGCATTCCAAGGTTGAGGTCTCACCTCTTGTCCTTCCATCACCTTCTGGTGGCCTTAGCACAGGTGGAGCTTCCAGGAATCCCCTGAGGCTGTAAATCCATGGAGAATCCATGGGGATATTCCTGATATTCCTTAAATTCCGTTGTGCATTGGAAGAGGATCCTTGACCATGCCGGCAGTGCCCAGAACTTCATGGAATTCATTCCAATTTGGGATCTTTTTCTTCATTTTCCACCTTCAAGCTCCCAAAGATCTTTGGGACCAAGCTTTGATCAGCTTTGATCCCAGATTTTCCTGTGGAGATCCATGGGCTCTTCCCATGGGATCCTTTCTCCATGGATGCCGCTGGAAGTTTGGGATGGAGCATTCCAAGGTTGCCCCTCCTGTCCTTCCATCACCTTCTGGTGGCCTTAGCACAGGTGGAGCTTCCAGGAATCCCCACCAGAGGCTGCAATTCCATGGAGAATCCATGGGGAATTCCTGATACTCCTTAAATTCCTTTGTGCATTGGAAGAGGACCCTTGGCCATGGAGCCAATCCCCAGAACTTCTTGGAATTCATTCCAGTTTAGGATTTCTTTGTTCATTTCCACCTTCAAACTCCCAGAGATCTTTGGGACCCGGATCAGCTTCGATCCCAGATTTTCACCCGGAGATCCATTGGCTCTTCCCATGGGATCCCCTCTCCGTGGCTCCCCCACCCCAGCAGCACAAGCACAACCCCCCCCAGAATCCGGGCATTCCCTGGAATCCGGCATTCCCTGGGATCCGGGCATTCCCTGGAATCCGGCATTTCCTGGAATCCGGGCATTCCCTGGAATCCAGCATTCCCTGGGATCTGGGATTCCCTGGGATCCGGGCATTCCCTGGGATCCGGGCATTGCCTGGGATCTGGGCATTCCCTGGAATCCGGGCATTCCCTGGAATCTGGCATTCCCTGGAATCCGGCATTCCCTGGAGTCCGGGCATTCCCTGGAAGCCGCTCATTCCCGTTCTCCTCCTCCCCGGGCGTGGCTTGGCTGGGATTTTGTTGGATTTCCCGGGATTTTCCCGAGGATCCCGATGGAAAATATGCAATAATTTGTTTACAGGATGCTCCGGGCAGGGCGCTCCTTTAAGCACAATGTGCACAGGATAGTTTTGTATTCCGCCCCTCCGGAATTTTTGGCGGGAAGAGGTTCTCCTACGTTTCTATGGGACATTGGGAATGCTTGGAAAGCTTTCTAAGACTGGGAAATAAATTTTTTTATCTTAAGAAAAAAAAAACAAACCAAAACCTTGGGATGTCTTCCTTATTCTGGGATTTTCCAAGTATTTTATTTTCCAGATGTATTCCAAGTTTTTTCCCTGCGGTGGTGGCTTTGAGGTGTCGTGGTTTTAAGGAGGTTTTCTTCTGGAAAAGTGGGAAAATGTGGATTTTTCACATTAATTAAGGGTTTGGTGATTGAGGGAAGGAGCACAAGCGGTGGATTCCTGCTGGGAATTATTCCAGCTTGTTTGGAATCTTTTGGGAATTGTTAAATGAGGATTTTAATGGAGCGGTCACTAAAAATATCCCAATGTTGGGAATGGGGAAATGCAGCTCCAGGGAATCCCAGAGCCCCTTCCGGGAATCCAGGGAGAGCTGGAAAGGGATTTGGATCAGGGAGGGAGGGGCAGGACAAAGGGAATGGCTGGAAAAGTGGATCTTGGGAAGGAATTCCCAGCTGGGATGGAATTCCCAGAGAAGATGTGGCTGCCCCTGGATCCCAGGAATGTCCAAGGCTGGGTTGGAGCACCCTGGGATAGGGAAAGGTGTCCCTGCCCATCCCACCCAAAATATTCTGGGATTCTCCCAAGTGATTCCCACTCCTTGGCACGTTGGGATTGAAAAGAGCCTTGGAGCATCCCCGAAGGTGGGAGCGGAATTCCAGAGCACCGGGAAGCTGTGTCCAGGGAAAAGCTGTGTCCCAGTGCTGGCAGGAAGGGGTTAATTCCCAGGAGTCCCCAGGACTTTCCTGTGGGATTGAAGTTCGGGATAGAGCTGGGAATTCACCAGCCCTGCCCGGCTCCTCTTTCTCCCAATTTCTGGAAAACTGAGGGATAATAATTAATAATAATTAATAATTAACTGAGCCCGCTCATCCCTCTCCATCCCGCTGGGATCTCCCACTCTCCGAACGTTGGGAAAGCCGTTCGCAGTGGAACACTGCGGGAAAAGCAGCGGATTTTTGGGAAGCAGAAGGGGAAACTCACCGGGCTGGGATTCATTCCCATCCAGCTGGGAATGAATAATCCGGGAATGAGGAGCCGCGGGAGGGCTGGAATTGCCGGGTTCCTCCGGGAGTTTTCCAGAGGCGCCGGGAGCAGGAGATGCTCGGCAGGGCTGGGAATTGATTTTTATTTTTTTTTTCCTGCTTTTTTTCCACTTCCTCGTCGCTGGCTCCGATCCCGGCCGCGTTTGGCCGCGCCGATTTCCGGGTTTATCTGGGAACTTTTTCCGTGGACGAGCCGGGGTTCATCCTCTCCCACAGCCTGGGAATTGCCGGCTCTGGGACCATCCCTGGGCGCGCTTCCCGGCGGGATCGTGCCTCTGGAAAAGCCGCGCCCGCCCGGCCGGGAATTCCATGTGGGCAGTGTTTGTTCCCAGTGAGTAATCCCGGGATTCGGAGGCAGCGCTGGAAAACGCCGCATCCAGCGGCGGCTCCGAGCAGCGCCCGTAAGTCCCGGCTTGTCCCCCTGTCCGGCATTCCCAGCTTTTCCCGCTGATCCCGCGGGTCGGCTCCCGGGAAGTTCGGGAATGGGAATGGGAAAAGCGCCGGGGCAGCGGGAGCATTCCCGGCCCTCCCACGGCTCCCGGCGCGGGCGATCGCGGAATTCCCGGGAAGTTTCCCTCGGGAGCGGGATGGGGTCTGGGATCCCGCGGGAAGGACGGGTGGGATCGGCGGATTTCTGGCATGGAAAAGCTGCTGCTCCCGGCGGATCCCGGCGAATTCCAGCGGCAACAACAACAACAACAGCAACTCCCACAAAACCGCCGTTGTCCCGCCGGGAGCGCTCCTGGCACGGCCCGCGCCGCTCCCGGAGTTTTCCAGAGCTGCTCCCGCTGCCCCCGGCGCCGCTGGAAACGCGAACGGGGCCGCTCGGGAATTCCCGAATATTCCCGGCCCGTGGAAAAGCTCCGCTGGAGCTGGCACGGAGCGAGGGATGTGCCAGGGGGTGGGATCTGCCATGGGGAGGGATAGGGATGCTCCATAGGGAAAGGAGATTCCGTATGGGAGTGTGTGGTGTGGGGAGGGATGAGGAGAGGAGAGGAGAGGAGAGGAGAGGAGAGGAGAGGAGAGGAGAGGAGAGGAGAGGAGAGGAGAGGAGAGGAGAATGTGCCATGGGAGCTGTGCCATGGGCAGAGGACGGTGACAAGGTGACAGGGCCGGGCTCCTGGCATGGCGGCGGTGCCGGGTGGGGACATCGGTGCCAGGGGGGGACATTCCCCAGGAGCTCCCGGGCCGGAGCTGCGGCTGCAGGGCCGGGACAGCCCCGAGAGGGGTCGGGTGGGACTGCAGGGAACCGGGGGAGGCAGAGGAGGAGGAGGAGGAAATTAAGGAGGAGGAGGAAGAAGAAGAGGACGAGGAAGAAGAGAAGGAGGAAGGAGGAAGAGGAGGAGGAGGAAGAGGAGCTGTGGCAGCCACCTGAGCGAAGCCGCAGCGCTGGCAGAGGTGACTCGCAGGGGTCACAGCCCCGCCATGTCCCCATTCCCATTCCCATTCCCGGCTGGGAAGAGCCCGAACAGGAGGAGGAGGAGGAGGAGGAGCAGGAGGAAGCAGGCCCGGCCCGGCCCGGCCCGCAGGGTGTGCCCGGCCCCAGTGACTCACTGTGCTCGCTGCCCTCGTTGTGCTCCCAAACCACAAATTCCTGCCTGAGGCCGGGCCTGGAGCCTCCTCCTGCTTCCCACAGGGAACAGGGAATGGGAACAGGGAAATGGGGACAGGGAACAGGGAATAGGGACAGGGAACTGGGAGCAGGGAATAGGGAACTGGGAGCAGGGACAGAGAACAGGGAATGGAGAGAGGGAATAGGGAACAAGGAATAGGGACAGGGAACAAGGAATAGGGAATGGGGACAGGGAACAGGAACAGGGAACAGGGAAGGGATTCCTGCACAGCAATGACTGGGTTGGGATGGATCCAGGTGCTCCCAGCTCAGGGATCCCATCCAGGGGCTCTGAGAGGAGCCTCTGGAAAAGCCCAAGCCTCTGGAAGGGCTCATTCCTTTGTCCTCTGAGAATCCCAGAATTCCAGGTCAGAAGGGCCTTAAAACTCATCTCATTCCAGCCTGGCCATCGCAGGGACACTTCCATGAACAGATTCCAGCCTGGCCTTGGGCACTGCCAGGGATCCAGGGGCAGCCACAGCTGCTCTGGGAATTCCATCCCTGCCTCTCCCCACCCTCCCAGCCAGGAATTCCCAATTCCCAATCTCCCATCCATCCCTGCCCTCTGGCACTGGGAGCCATTCCCTGTGTCCTGTCCCTGCCTCCCTTGTCCCCAGCCCCTCTCCAGCTCTCCTGGAGCCCCTTCAGGCCCTGAGCTCTCCCTGGAGCCTTCTCTGGATTCAGGTCCTGTTTCCACCATGGAAAACCACAGGAATTCTGTGGGATCCAGGGGCTGCAGGCTCTGTGGAGCTTTGAGGCAGCACCTCACTACTTCCAGAGCCCCGGGAAGCACTCGATTCCCAATTCCTCATTCCTGATTCCCCATTCCCCATTCCTCATTCCTGATTCCCCATTCCCCATTCCCATCTAATCTTTAACCAGAGGCGTTTCCAGCGGGGTTTTGTTGGTTCATTGCTCTCCTGCCTCATTAATTTTTCCCTCCCTCTCCAGCCGTTCCCGGTGTCCCGGGGCTTTTCCTGGAGCTGCCTCACCCCGGAGCTGGCAGAGGTAGGGCCGGGGTGGGAGGGAATCCCTCAATTCCAGGGGCTGGGAAAAGGGGGTTCTTTGGGAATGGCTCTGTGGCACACCCGAGGGCTGGATCCCGCTGGGAATCTGGGATGGCTGGAGCAGCTGGAATGGCAGCCCAGGGTGCTGGAGGCTCCGGGAGCTCTCGGGATCTCGGGAATCCAGAACTTTGGATTCCTCTGGATCCTGGTGGGATCGAGCTGAGGCAGCACCTGGAGCAGGAGCTCCCTTCCCTCTTTTCCTGCTCTGGGTGGGAGGGAAGGAGGGATCACGGAGTTTTCCCTTGATTTCCCAGAGTGCCAGCGCCAGGATCGGGTAACAGCCGGAGCCAGGATATTCCATGGGACTGGGAAAGGGGATCCAGCTGGGATCCCGTGTCCCTCCACTTCCTGGGATCCTGCATCCCGGGATCCTGAGGTGATCCCGAGGTGATCCCACATCCCTCTGGATCTGTGGGAAATCCCGTCCCTCTGGAAAGTGGGATCAGCCTTGTCTCACTGCTCCCCTGGGATCCCAGCTCCCCATCCCACTGGGATGCAATTCCCTGTGGGATTTGGGATTTGGGATTTGGGATTGGACCCCGTGCTGCATCCCAGGAATTCTCATCCCCTCCAGGCCACCCTGATCCCAGAAACGCCGCGGGAGCAGCGCCATTCCCGCGGGATGCGGCCGGGAGGGCTTTGAGGCGCCGTCCTGTGGAAGCTGAGCTGGAAAATCCCGGGAATTCCATCCGGAGCCGGCCATGCCGGGCCCCACGGCCCGGCTGCTCCGCGCCCACCAGGTGCCCGAGGTCAGCGGGAATTCCCTCCCTGATC